AGATAGATGGAATTCAAAACATACCCATTTCTTAGATGATTTCCCCCAAGTTTTTATATTTTCTTAACCAGGTATGTTTTTCCATCTTTGAAGAGCTATTTGGCATCATAGCATTTCCATTATTACCAAAATTATGGGTAACTGGTTGCTCTCAGGTAATGTAAACATGGTGATGTTTGAGTGCCGCTTAAGATAGGAAATTGAAAAAAATAATACGATGACAATAATAATAGTATAATGGTAACATACATAGCCTTCAAGATATTTTGATGCAGCTTCCGGCATTTTCGACCATTGACTTTGCTGGTGGAATATATGTTATACTAGAAGAACATCAGAGGAACGTCACGTGCGAAGTCAAGTTTGTAACGTCCCTTTGGCCATGATGATGGGAAGGCAAGATTCCATGGAGAAGAATGCAATAGTCACACTTGGAAAGGTAAAGGTGGCCGCCATTCCTGCCGCTTTGAATTCTGTGTCAGAGTGCGACAGAAGCTTAGAAGAATTAACATTTTGAGACTTCAGTAAAAGCAAACGTATAGCTTTACTGAGTAGAGCAAAAATACAGCACACACTCACGTTGACACCCAACCAAAAAGAACAGAAACAAAACAAAAGCACTGAAGTAAGAAAGATAAACGAATGAAATCTTATCTCTGGATCCTCCCTACGTGTTCCAGGCACATTCAGGGTCACAACTTCACAGTTCATTAGAGGCTTGACTGATTAACCCTTTCAGAGTCAATACGCTCTCTGCTAATGCAATCAGGTTACATAGACAGAGGCTCCCTGGCGGCCAGAAAAAAGGTTAAATAGCCTCTGTCTATGTCTGTATATGTTTGTATGTCAAAACTGGCATTGAATGTTTGCCATATATGTGTACACTGTGATCCGCCCTGAGTCCCCTGCGGGGTGAGAAGGGAGGAATATAAAAGCTGTAAATAAATAATTTACAGGCATTACACAAAATTACATTTAAACATTCACACTACACTAATATTACATTAACATTCTGCAGCACTGCTGGACACAGCTGACCTCCAGCTGGAGCACTCAAGGGCCAGGGCTTCCCAGTTCTCGGTGTCTGTGCCACAGTTTTTAAGGTTAGTTTTAAGCCCATCTTTCAATCTCTTTTCCTGTCCACCAACATTCAATTTTCCATTCTTGAGTTCGGAGTAGAGCAACTGCTTTGGGAGACGGTGATCTTTGGGCATTTGGACAACGTGGCCGGTCCAGCGGAGTTGATGGCGGAGGACCATCGCTTCAGTGCACACTGACGTGTGTCCGCCTGTTTTCCCAAGAGATTTGCAGGATTTTCCGGAGGCAGCACTGATGGAAGCGTTCCAGGAGTTGCATGTGACGTGTGTAGACAGTCCACGTCTCGCAGGCATTTAGCAGAGTTGGGAGGACAATGGCTTTATAAACAAGTCCCTTGTTATCCCTACGGATGTCCCGGTCCTCAAACACTCTCTGCTTCATTCGGAAAAATGCTGTACTCACAGAGCTCAGGTGGTGTTGTATTTTAGTGTCGATGTTGACTTTTGTGGAGAGGTGGCTGCCAAGGGAGCAGAAATATTATTATTATTATTATTATTTTATTAACTTTATTTGTACCCCGCAAGCATCTCCCGAAGGACTTGATGCGGCTTACAAAGGCCAAGGCCTCAGTAAAACATAGCATAACAAATACAACTTAAAGCAAATCATAGAATCATAGAATCAAAGAGTTGGAAGAGACCTCCTGGGCCATCCAGTCCAACCCCATTCTGCCAAGAAGCAGGAATATTGCCCTCAAATCACCCCTGACAGATGGCCATCCAGCCTCTGTTTAAAAGCTTCCAAAGAAGGAGCCTCCACCACACTCCGGGGCAGAGAGTTCCACTGCTGAATGGCTTTCACAGTCAGGAAGTTATTTTTCATGTTCAGATGGAATCTCCTCTCTTGTAGTTTGAAGCCCTTGTTCCATTGCGTCCTAGTCTCCAGGGCAGCAGAAAACAAGCTTGCTCCCTCCTCCTCCCTGTGGCTTCCTCTCACATATTTATACATGGCTATCATATCCCCTCTCAGCCTTCTCTTCTTCAGGCTAAACATGCCCAGCTCCTTAAGCTGCACCTCATAGGGCTTGTTCTCCAGACCTTTTATCACTTTAGTCGCTCTCCTCTGGACACATTCCAGCTTGTCAATATCTCTCTTGAATTGTGGTGCCCAGAATTGGACACAATATTCCAGGTGTGGTCTAACCAAAGCAGAATAGAGGGGTAGCATTACTTCCCTAGATCTAGACACTGGAATGTGTCTACAGGTGTTGGCTATTTGTTTGAATTCTTCTTTGGTGATTTCTCCCTTTTTCCACTTCTTGTGCATGTCTCTTTTGTGTTCTAGCACAGTTAGAAGTTCTTTGGACATCCATTCTGGCTTCTTTGCACTTGTCCTATTTTTTCTTTTTGTTGACAGTTAAAGCAATATCAAAACAACAAAACAATAAAAACAATACACCAAAACACAATAAAACTAGGGCCGGGCCAAATGTAATGGATACAGATTAAAAGTGCTGATGTGACAGGTGGTATGTCAGCATTTTTTAATATTGCTCTGGCCCAGCGTACCTGTCCAAATGTATCTCCTTCTACGTCCCACCTCGGAGTTTAAGATCTTCCGGGGAGGCCCTGCTCTCGGCCCCACCTTTATCACAAGTGAGACTGGTGGGGACGTGGGACAGGGCCTTCTCGGTGGTGGCCCTCACCTGTGGAACGCACTCCTCGGGGAAATTAGGTCATCAACATCCCTCCTCTCTTTCAGAAGGAAGTTAAAAACCTGGATGTGGGGCCAGGCCTTTGGGTAAGCTGGCAGATGGACAAAAGACAATGACGACCAAAGTAGGAAAGGACTATGACGATGCTGGATGGATTATGGATTTATGCATTGGCGAACGTTGACCACAAGATAATTTTATTGCTGCTATTGTATTAATTTGATTGTTTTAACTAGTTATAATTGTTGTCGTTATACTGTATTTTGTATATTGTTATTTGTGAACTGTTGAGCATCGAATGGTGCCTTTTCTAAGCCTTTACGGTTCCGGTCCAGCGTATCTGTCTGAACGTATCTCCCTCTACGTCCCATCTCGGAATTTGAGATCATCTGGGGAGGCCCTGCTCACGACCCCACCGCTATCACAAATGAGGCTGGTGGGGACGAGGAGCAGGGCCTTCTCAGTGGTGGCCCCCCATCTGTGGAACTCACTCCCGGGGGAAATCAGGGCTTCAACTTCCCTCCTTGCCTTCAGGAGGAAGGTAAAGACGTGGCTCTGGGACCAGGCCTTTGGGCACCCTGACAATTAGACACGGAACCAGAATGATAGGACCAACAATGTGTGGAAAGTAGAACCTAACTATGAGTCGGTTAAACGCTGACCAGCAATGAGGTTTGTATTGCTTTTATTGTTTTAATTGTTTTTTACGGGTTTTATGGCTACTCCTGCCGATAATATTGATTGTTTACGTTAATTGTTATCAGTGTTATAATTATTGTTGTTATTGATGTTATGTTTTTGATGTTATGTTTTTGTAATACAGGCATCGAATTGTGCCTTGTTTGTGTAAGCCGCCCTGAGTCCCCCCGGGTGAGAAGGGCGGGGTATAAGCAACCGTAATAATAATACTAATACTAATAATAATAATAATAATAATAATAATAATAATAAGCCGCCCTGAGTCCCCCCTAGGGGGTTGAGAAGGGCGGGGTAGAAGCACTCCAAATAAATAAATAATAATAATAATAATACTTAGGCGATCCCTCGTTGGACGAGTAAGATGGTCTTCCATTATGGATTTCCTTGTGGGTCCGTATGTGGCTGTGGAGCCCTATTCTTGCTCTGCATCTTCTTCCGCAGTGAGGGCATTGGTTTCCAGGTGGAAGGCGGTCCCGGTCGGGGTTGGCTTGACGCGCCTTCCTCCTGGCACGTTTCTCTCTTTCACCCTCCACTCGTGCGTCCTCAAATTCTGCAGCACTGCTGGTCACAGCTGTCCTCCAGCTGGAGCGCTCAAGGGCCAGGGCTTCCCAGTTCTCAGTGTCTATGCCAGAGTTTTTAAGGTTGGCTTTGAGGCCATCTTTAAATCTCTTTTCCTGTCCACCAACATTCCGTTTTCCGTTCTTAAGTTCGGAGTAGAGCAACTGCTTTGGGAGACGGTGGTCAGGCATCCGGACAACGTGGCCGGCCCAGCGGAGTTGATGTTGGAGGACCATCGCTTCAATGCTGGTGGTCTTTGCTTCTTCCAGCACACTGACGTTTGTCCGCTTGTCTTCCCAGGAGATTTGCAGGATTTTCCGGAGGCAGCGCTGATGGAAACGTTCCAGAAGCTGCATGTGACGTCTGTAGACAGTCCACGTCTCACAGGCATATAGCAGGGTTGGGAGGACAATAGCTTTATAGACAAGCACCTTGGTATCCCTACGGATGTCCCGGTCCTCAAACACTCTCTGCTTCATTCTGGAAAATGCTGCACTTGCAGAGCTCAGGCGGTGTTGTATTTCGGCGTCGATGTTGACTTTGGTGGAGAGGTGGCTGCCAAGGTAGCGGAAATGGTCCACATTTTCTAATGTGACACCATTAAGCTGTATTACTGGCATTGGAGAGGGATTGGCTGGCGACTGCTGGAACAGCACCTTGGTTTTCTCAATGTTCAGTGACAGGCAGAGCTTCTCATATGCTAATAATAATAATAATAATAATAATTAATAATAATAATAATAATAATAATAATAATAATAATAATAATAATAATAATGCTGTATTTCTGGCATTGGAGAGGGATTGGCTGGTGAGTGCTGGAAGAGCACTTTGGTTTTCTGCATTGTAATAACAGGTTAGAAAAACTCCAGGCGCCGCTCCCTTGCCTGGCCTGCAGGTGGCGCTGCAGGGAAGCGCAGCAGGTGCAGCAGCCTATGTCGCTCTTGCTCCGGAAGCAGCGGGGACTTCCTGCTCTCGGTGGTGCGTCCCACCCGCGCATGCGCAGGAGTGCCCCCCAGGCAGGAGAGCCCAGTGGTGGCAGGGAGACAAAGAGAGGCCGGTGGGTTGTCTTTCGGGTGAGTTGGGCCCTCGGGGTGCCTCCCTCAGTGGCCTCAATACCTTGGCCTTATATCCATCTGTGTCTTCAATTTAATATATTAATATAGTAAATATAATAGTAATAATGTTGTAATATAATATATTCCCTATCCTACAACTCATAATAGAGTACAATATGTTGTGTAATACTAATAGTTGTGTTTTGTATATATATTGTGGTCTACATTTGTATTAAACCATGATAAAATAATAACAAGTAATATATATATAGTGGTCTAATAATATAGCACAATCTAATAATATATAATAATATCATTAATGTTGTTATATATTACATGCAATATTATTAATAATATGCAGTACAGTTGTATAGTACAATATATTGTGTAATACTAATAGTTGTTAGATATATATTGTGGTCTACATTTGTATTAAACCATGATAAAATAAAAAAATGGTCTAATAATATAGCACAATCTAATAATATATAATAATATCATTATTGTTGTATTATTTTACATGTAGTATTTCTAATAATATGCAGTACAATATAGTAATATATAATACTAATGTTGTGTTATGCTAATACTATATTGTATATATGTATAATATTGATAATAATATTATACAATATAATACAAAGATCTGTATAGGAAGGACAATAATATCGAGGATAGTTTTGACGGTGTGGTGAATGAATTAGAACCAGACATCCTGAGGAGTGAGGTTGAATGGGCCTTGAGAAGCATTGCTAACAACAAGGCAGCAGGAGACAACGGGATCCCAGCTGAACTGTTTAAAATTTTAAAGGGTGATGCTGTCAAGGTGATGCATGCCATATGCCAGCAAATATGGAAAACACAAGAATGGCCATCAGACTGGGAAAAATCCACTTATATCCCCATACCAAAAAAGGGAAATGCGAAAGACTGCTCAAACTTCCGTACAGTGGCCCTTATTTCTCATGCCAGTAAGGTAATGCTCAAGATCCTGCAAGGAAGACTCCAGCAAGACATGGAGCGAGAGTTGCCAGATGTTCAAGCTGGGTTTAGAAAAGGCAGAGGAATGAGAGACCAGATTGCCAATATCTGGATGCTGGATAATGGAGAAAGGCAGGGAGTTTCAGAAAAACATCTATTTCTGCTTCATTGACTATTCTAAAGCCTTTGACTGTGTGGATCATAATACATTGTGGCAAGTTCTTGGTGGGATGGGCATCCCAAGCCACCTTGTCTCTCTCCTGAGGAATCTGTACAAGGACCAAGTAGCAACAGTCAGAACTGACCACGGAACAGGAGACGGGTTCAAGATTGGGAAAGGCGTACGGCAAGGCTGCATCCTCTCACCCAACCTTTTAACTTGTATGCAGAACACATCATGCGATGTGCGGGGCTGGATGAATGCAAAGTGGGGGAAAATGCTGGAAGAAACATTAACAACCTCAGATATGCAGATGACACCACTCTGATGGCCGAAAGCGAGGAGGAGCTGAGGAGCCTTCTAATCAAGGTGAAAGAAGAAAGCGCAAAAGCCGGGTTGCAGCTAAACATCAAAAAAACCAAGATTATGGCAACAAGAATGATTGACAACTGGGAAATAGAGGGAGAAAACGTGGAGGCCGTGACAGACTTTGTATTTCTAGGTGCAAAGATTACTGCAGATGCAGACTGTGGCCAGGAAATCAGAAGACACTTCCTTCTTGGGAGGAGAGCAATGTCCAATCTCGATAAAATAGTGAAGAGTAGAGACATCAGACTGGCAACCAAGATCCGCATAGTAAAAGCCATGGTATTCCCCGTAGTCACCTATGGTTGTGAGAGCTGGACCTTAGGGAAGGCTGAGCGAAGGAAGATCGATGCTTTTGAGCTGTGGTGTTGGAGGAAAGTTCTGAGAGTGCCTTGGACTGCGAGAAGATCCAACCAGTCCATCCTCCAGGAAATAAAGCCCGACTGCTCATTGGAGGGAAGGAGACTAGAGACAAAGTTGAAGTCCTTTGGCCACATCATGAGGAGACAGCAAAGCCTAGAGAAGACAATGATGCTGGGGAAAGTGGAAGGCAAAAGGAAGAGGGGCCGACCAAGGGCAAGATGGATGGATGGCATCCTTGAAGTGACTGGACTGACCTTGAGGGAGCTGGGGGTGGTGACGGCCGACAGGGAGCTCTGGCGTGGGCTGGTCCATGAGGTCACGAAGAGTCGGAGACGACTGAACGAATGAACTACAACATAGTGGTCTAATAATATAGCACAATCTAATAATATATAATAATATAATAACTGTGTATTATATATTACATGTAGTATTACTAATAATATGCAGTATTATTATATGTTTACATATTGTATATACATATAATATTGATAATATTGTACAATATAATACAAATAAGAGAATGATAATAATGATAATAATACAGCTTGGAGGGAGCCCCAAAGGGCATCTAGACCGACCCCCTTCTGCCACAAAGGAAGACATAATAATAATAATAATAATAATAATAATAGAGCTGGAAGGGAATGTCATGATGCCAGGGCTCTGCTGATATGCAGGCAGAAATGAACCAAAACAAACACCTAGCTTGTGTCAATTAAAGCAGCACTTACTGTCTGACCGTTTTCATAGTCCAAATATAAAACATAAACATAGCACTCAGCCACAGAATATAAAAGAAAGACTGGTAGGAAACACCCATGCAGGTTCAGGAGATCACCGTAGTCAAAAAGTTCAGTCCGGTAGTCAAATGCCGAGACTTCAGTGACTAAAGTCCAAGGACCAAAAGTCTATACTGTAGTCAGTAGCCAGTCTGGAGATTCAAAGTTTCAAGAGTTCAGGAGACAGGTCAGGATACCGAAAATCCACAAACCTGGGGGGAAACCCAGCAGCATACACAACCAAATAGGACAAATACTTTTTTTGCAAAAATCTGTTTTCTAGCTCCTTATATCCATTTAAACCCACCTGCATCCTATCTCTTGCATGTCCCCACCCTTAATTGATTTTGCCTGCAAATTCTTACTTACAGATTACTCTGCCTTTTAATAATAATAATAACAACAACAACAATAATAATAATAATATTTATTTATACCCTGCCACCATCTCCCTGAAGGAGACTCGGGGTGGCTAACATGAGGCCATTAGAACTAGGACTGACATTAACCCCTTCCATCACCTGCTGCTAGGCCTGATAACACCAACCACCATCAACTGCGTAACATGATACATGACAGGGGACCCTAAAGGGCACTCAGACTGACCCCCTTCTGCCAAATTCTTCAAAATGCAATTCTCACAGGAACAGAAAGTGAGGTGAAATCTTCTGAACTTGGGCACAGGCAGCAAAGGAAACACCACGGGGGCAATCACACTTCCCTGTGCAAGCCAAAGCTAAAACATATTTTTTTGGCTAGAGTTACACTTAATAAATGTCCCAGGCCTGCTATAGGCTAATCTCAACCATCTCTGTTTTCTTCTTGTCCCGCCAAGGAGGCTAGCAATGGAGCGCAAGGCCAGGAAGGCGAATTCCCCGCAGCCGTTGCAGCCCTCCTTCCCTCGCCAGCGGATCTTCAACGGAAGGAAGCGAGCCCAACCCGGAGAGGGCTCTGCCCGGTCTGCAGCTGAAGCCAAGCGCGGCTTTCCTGACTCTCCCGGGGCCCGACTTCTGCGCCTGGAGCGCAAAGTGGCAGCGGCAGAGGAGAGGTGGGCCGGCTGCGAGAAGAACGTGGTGGAGATGGGGAGCCAGCTGGAGGGCAGGCTGGCTGTGCTTGGCACCTTGATGGAGGAGAACGGCCTGCTCCAGAGGAGGCTGGAGAACCTGGAGAACCTGCTGAAGAACCGCAACTTCTGGATCCTGAGGTTTCCACCGGGCAGCAATGGGGAAACCCCGAAGGTAACGGAGCCGAGAGGGTTGCAATCTGAAGGAGGGAGTGCTGGGGACAAGAAGGCCTCTGGCAAGGTCCATGATATTCTTGCAAAGCCGCTAGTAAAATGCAGGTTAAGCTAAGACAGGCATGGGCCAACTTCCAGAGGTTATTTATTTATCGTGTCATTAGCAACCAGACATTTGTATTACATTTTTAACAAAAACAAACAAACAAACAGACAAAACACAGAATTTGCAAGCTTGGTAATTGATTAAATGTCCTTTGACCAGTATCTGGCCCCTTGGAGTGCCTCTGGTGTTGCCGCAAGAAGGTCCTCCATTGTGCATCATGTGGCAGGGCTCAGGGTGCATTGCAGCAAGTGGTCAGTGGTTTGCTCTTCTCCGCACTCGCATGTCGTGGATTCCACTTTGTGGCCCCATTTCTTGAGATTGGCTCTGCATCTTGTGGTGCCAGAGCGTGAATTGACACCAAATTTGGACACCATCACACCTATCAGGACAACAAGTGACCATCACTCATAAAAACACTGAAAAACACAACAGAAGAGACTTAAAAAGCAACAAAAAATACATTATTACGCATGCACAAAAACACATATTTACAAATATACACATATATACACACACAAAACACATATGCACAGACTGGGCCACAGCAACGCGTGGCAAGGGACAGCTACTCTATATAAATAAAAATGTAATATTTGTTTGTGGGATTAACATAACTAAAAAACCATTTGGTGAATAGACACCAAATTTGGACACAATACACCTATGAGGCCAACAAGTGACCATCACTCATAAAAACACTGAGAAACAGCGGAAGAGACTTAATAATAATAATAATTAATAATAAAACTTTATTTGTACCCCGCTACCATCTCCCCAAGGGACTCAGTGCAGCTTACATGAGGCCGAGCCCACAACACATCAATAACAAAAGCAATAACAACAAGCAATGCAAAACAATTAAAATAAATCTCATAAACAAAAATAAGCAATAAACATGGACAATATGACAGCAAACATTTATAAACCTATGGCTGGGCCAAATGTAATAATTAAAATTTAAAAAATAATGCTGAGCATGAACAGGTAAGATATAGAATATTCAGAGAGGGATGGAGTGTGCAGACAAAAAATAGAAAGCAAAAATATAAAAAATACATTACAATGCATGCACAAAACCACATATATACACATATATATACGCAGAAAATACATATACACAGACTGGGCCACAGCAACGCGTGGCAGGAGATGGCTAGTTTCTGATAACAATTTAACTAGAAATGCCTCCTCTTGCATGGAAGCAAGGAGCGAAGGAAGGAAGGAAGGAAAGAGGTAGAGAAGGAAGGAAGGAGAGAAAGAGGAAAAGAAAAAGGGGGGAATGAAAGAAAGGGGTAGAGAAGGAAGGAAGGAGAGAAGGAAAGGAAAAAAGGAAAGTGAGCAAAGGAAGAAGGGAAAGAAAGAGGAAGGAAAGACAGAATCATAGAATCAAAGAGTTGGAAGAGACCTCCTGGGCCATCCAGTCCAACCCCATTCTGCCAAGAAGCAGGAATATTGCATTCAAATCACCCCTGACAGATGGCCATCCAGCCTCTGTTTAAAAGCTTCCAAAGAAGGAGCATCCACCACACTCCGGGGCAGAGAGTTCCACTGCTGAACGGCTCTCACAGTCAGGAAGTTCTTCCTCATGTTCAGATGGAATCTCCTCTCTTGTAGGAAGGAAGGGTGGAAGCAAAAAGCAAATGAAGGAAGAGGTAGAGAAGGAAGAAAAGAGAGAAAGAGGAAAAGAAAAGGGGAAGGAAAGAAAGGGGTAGAGAAGGAAGGAAGGAAGGAGAGGGAAAGGATGGAAGGAGGGAAAGAGGTAGAGAAGGAAGAAAGGAGAGAAAGAGGGAGGGCAGGAAAGAAGGAAAGACAGAAGGAAGGATGGAAGGAAAGAGGTAGAGAAGGAAGGGGAGAAAGGGAAGGAAAAGAAAAATAGAGGAAGGAAAAAGGTAGAGAAGGAAGGAAGGAGAGAAAGAAAGAAAAAAAAAGGAAGGAAAGAGGGAGTGAAGGAAGGAGGGAAAGAAGGAGAGAAAGAGGGAGGGAAAGTTGGCCACAGCAACTTGTAGCGGGTACAGCTAGTATGTCAATAAAAATGAAATGCAGAGATGTAGGATGGGGAGACACCTCGCTTGAAAACAATCCATGGGTACGGGACCTAGGAGTCCAAGCTGAACCCAACTCAACCTGTCTGGCCTCCTTGTCCCTTCAGGTGCCAGTGACCTTCAACGACTCCTCGGTCAGCTTCAACGCACAGGAATGGGGAAACCTGGAGGAGTGGCAGAAGGAGATGTTCAAGGCGGTCATGAGGAGCAACTATGAGATGCTGGTCTCCCTGGGTAAGGAGAACCGGGGCCTTTGTGCCTTTTTCAAGTGAATGAAAAGTTTTCAGTCTTTCTAAAAAAAATTCCAATGTCCTTTCTTTTAGTAAACATGGTAATTTACCCATCTTGGCCAAGTTCATGATTTTGACCCTCCAATATTGGCTTATACTCGAGTCAATACACTTTCCCAGTTTTTTGTGGTAAAATTAGGTGTCTCGGCTTATATTCGGGTCGGCTTATACTCGGGTATATATGGTAATTTGAAGTAACAACAAAGCAGTGTTGTGATCTCTTTCTCTGGTCAGACGATGCCATTTCGAAGCCCACGTTCCTGTCTCAGATCGAACGCGGGGAAGATCCAAGTGCGAAGGAGGCCGATGACTTGGAAGAGGAAGACATACCTGTAGATCCCGGCTGCTCAGGTGTGTTTTTGTCCCATTTTGATGCCAGGTTTGTTTTAATGCGGTCCTCCAACATGACTCTATGGCAGGCATGGGCCAACTTGGGCCCTCCCTCCAGGTGTTTTGGACTCCAACTCCCACAATTCCTAGCAGCCTACCGACTGCTAGGAATTGTGGGAGTTGGAGTCCAAAACACCTGGAGGGAGGGCCCAAGTTGGCCCATGCCTGCCATAGAGTCATGGGAATGTTTCTGTGGAGGGCAAAACAAGCCACCGACTCTGTTTTTATTCTTTTCCTCGGTGCAGGTTCCTCCGTGATTGTTGTGAACGCGGCTTCCTGGGGCCAAGAAGACGAGAAAGAAGAGGAAGATGGCCCTGGGACGGTGCTTTTGGAGGTCGCAAGCCCTGGTGGGTTCTCTGCCCGGATCAATTGCACAGTAGGCATGTGTGATCTATGGTTCTGTGCTGCTGGAATGTGCTGCCTTGGATCATGTCAGAGTCTCCTTTGGAGGTTTTTAAGCAGAGGCTGGATGGCCATCTGTTGGGAGGGCTTGGATGGTGTCTTCCTGCATGACAGGGTTGGATTGGGTGGCCCTTGGGGTCTCTTCCAGATCTAGGATTCTATGAAATGCACTAAGACCTGTGGGAAAACAATCCATGGTTTCACTTACCCGCAATCCCTGGCGTTCCTTACCTTTTCAGTGCCTTTGCACACCTGGGCAGACTTCAGCCCTCCCTCCAGGTGTTTTGGACTTCAACTCTCACAATTCCTAACAGCCTACTGGCTGTTAGGAATTGTGGGAGTTGAAGTCCAAAACACTGGAAGGAGGGCTGAAGTTTGCCCAGGTTTCTGCCTCCCCCTTGCTGTCTTGCCTTCCTTCCCAGTGACCTCTCCCTTCCTTCCTCCATCTCCGCTCAGACGATGCCATTTCCAAGCCTGAATTCCTTTCCCACATCGAAGGAAGCGGCGAACCAAGCGCGAAGGATCCGGATGACTTGGAAGAGAGTGACATGCCCGTGGATCATGGCTGCTCAGGTGCGCTTTCGTTCCAACTTGGACCGCAGTTTGCAATGCTGTGTTTCTTTTCATTTGTATATTTAGTTCCCTGAATTCACTCATTTTAGGGCTGACCTGGGCCAACTTCGGCCCTCCCTCCAGGTTTCCTTCTTAACGTAAGAAACCTTGTAAACATGTCCTCAACTTATAGCGATAATGTTGACTCTCCTTAATTGGTGCTGGTAAATGTAAGGAGCCTTGTGTTGACTTCCTTCTTAACGTAAAAAACCTTGTAAACATGTCCTCAACTTATAGCAGTAATGTTGACTCTCCTTACTTGGTGTTGATAAACATAAGGAGCCTTGTGTTGACTTCCTTCTTAACGTAAGAAACCTTGTAAACATGTCCTCAACTTATAGCAATAATGTTGACTCTCCTTAATTGGTGCTGGTAAATGTAAGGAGCCTTGTGTTGACTTCCTTCTTAACGTAAAAAACCTTGTAAACATGTCCTCAACTTATAGCGGTAATGTTGACTCTCCTTACTTGGTGTTGATAAACATAAGGAGCCTTGTGTTGACTTCCTTCTTAACGTAAGAAACCTTGTAAACATGTCCCCAACTTATAGCGGTAATGTTGACTCCCCTTAATTGGCGTTGATAACCGTAAGGAGCCTTGTGTTGACTTCCTTCTTAACGTAAGAAACCTTGTAAACATGTCCTCAACTTATAGCGATAATGTTGACTCTCCTTAATTGGTGTTGGTAAACGTAAGGAGCCTTGTGTTGACTTCCTTCTTAACGTAAGAAACCTTGTAAACATGTCCTCAACTTATAGCGGTAATGTTGACTCTCCTTAATTGGTGTTGGTAAACGTAAGGAGCCTTGTGTTGACTTCCTTCTTAACGTAAGAAACCTTGTAAACATGTCCTCAACTTATAGCGGTAATGTTGACTCTCCTTAATTGGCGTTGGTAAACGTAAGGAGCCTTGTGTTGACTTCCTTCTTAACGTAAGAAACCTTGTAAACATGTCCTCAACTTATAGCGGTAATGTTGACTCTCCTTAATTGGTGTTGGTAAACGTAAGGAGCCTTGTGTTGACTTCCTTCTTAATGTAAGAAACCTTGTAAACATGTCCTCAACTTATAGCGGTAATGTTGAGTCTCCTTAATTGGTGTTGATAAACGTAAGGAACCTTGCGTTGACTTCCTTCTTAACGTGAGAAACCTTGTAAACATGTCCTCAACTTATAGCGGTAATGTTAACTCTCCTTAATTGGTATTGATAAACGTAAGGAACCTTGCGTTGACTTCCTTCTTAACGTAAGAAACCTTGTAAACATGTCCTCAACTTATAGCGGTAATGTTAACTCTCCTTAATTGGTGTTGATAAACGTAAGGAGCCTTGTGTTGACTTCCTTCTCAACGTAAGAAACCTTGTAAACATGTCCTCAACTTAAAGAACCATTGTTTCTGATAAACACAATTTTTCAGTTCATCATTTCTCTCTGGTAATCAATGTCAGCAGTTCAGCAGTTCACAGTCCACAAATTCTTCCTTGCCTTCTTGTAGTTTTCCAGGCTTCAGCTTGGGATGGCCTACGTAGACTACGTAGACCCCAACCATACATCTCTCATACAATTCTATTCAAATCACCATATTTCATGACTGTAGGCTGTTAGTCATTGTGAGAGTTGAGTTCCAAACCACCTGGAGGGAGGGTCGAAGTTGGCCCAGGCCTGAACTGGCAGTTTTTAGTGTGGTTCAGTTGCCATCTTCCATTGAGGTGAGTCTCTGTGCTTCTCCCTTCCTTTGCCGGCAGGTTCCTCCATGATCATTGTGAATGCAGCTTCCTGGGGAAGAGGAGACGGCAAAGAGGAGGTGGCAGCCATCTTGGCTTTGCAGGAAGACAGTCAAGGGGCGGCTCTTTTGGAGGACTCAAGCCCTGGTGAGTTGTCTACCTTGATATTTAATCCACAGATACATTAAACCAGGCCTGGGCCAACTTAGGCCCTCCAGGTGTTTTGGACTTCAACTCCCACAATTCCTAACAGCCGGTAGGCTGTTAGGAATTGTGGGAGTTGAAATCCAAAACACCTGGAGGGCCTAAGTTGGCTCGTGCCTGCATTAAACCATTAATGGTGGACCATTACGTGGATGGCAAGCACCAGCCTCTCCCCTGGATTTCTCCCACATCCTCATATTTCATCCATTTCCTCTGCACTCAAAATGACAACAGTAAGTGGTGCATTATTGCTTCCTTTTACCATTTTTGGATGCACCTGTGATTCTAAGATACCCCCATTTTTAGAGATGTCTATATGAAGGGAAAAGTGCACCTTAAGAGTTGAAGAAATGGGGGCACCAAAACCGTTTAAGTGCTCAATTCCTTCCCTCTCTTTTCATTTCTTCCTTCCTTTCTTTCTCCCTATCTTACTTTTCTTCCTTCCCCATTTCCTACCACTCTTTAGACATGTATTTCTCTCTTTTTTCTTTCCTTTCCTTCCTGACTTCTTTCTCCTTCCCTTTTTTACTTTCTTCCTTTCTTCTTTCATTCTTTCCACCTTCCTTCCTTCCCTCTTTTCTTCCTTCCTTCTGTATCTTTCACCCTCCTTCCCATTCCCTTCTTCCTATCTTCTTCCTCCCTTTCTTCCTCTTCTTCCTCCCTACTCCCTTCCCTTTCTTCTTTCTCCTCCTTCTTTTTTCTTTCTTCCTCCTTCTTCCTTCTCTTCTTTCCCTTCCTTCCTTCTGTATCTTTCACCCTCCTTCCCATTCCCTTCTTCCTATCTTCTTCCTCCCTTTCTTCCTCTTCTTCCTCCCTACTCCCTTCCCTTTCTTCTTTCTCCTCTCTTTCCTCTGTTTCTCCATTCCTCCCTCTTTCTTTCTTTTTTTTCCCCTCTCTCTCTCTTTCACCCTATATCCCTCCCTTCATCCCTCTCCTGTCTTCCTCCTTCTCTACCTTCCCTCCCTCCTTCCCTTTTTCCTGCTTCTTCCTTCCTTCCTTCCTTCCTTCTCCCTTTCCTTCTCTCCCTCTCTCTCTTTCACCCTATCTTCCTCCTTCTCTACCTTCCCTGCCTCCTTCCCCTTTTCCTGCTTCTTCCTTCCTTCCTTCTTTCCTTTCTTTTTTCTTCTTCTCCCTTTTCTCCGTTTCCCCTTCCCTCTTTCCTGCTTCTCTCCCTCTCTCTCTTTCACCCTATTTCCCTCCCATCATCCCCCTTCCGTCTTCCTCCTTCTTTACCTTCCCTCCCTCTTTCCCCTTTTCCTGCTTCTTTCTTCCTTCCTTCCTTCCTTTCTTTCTTTTTCTTCTCTCTTTCCTCCGTTTCTCCTTCCCTCTTTCCTGCTTCTTTCTCTCTCTCACTCTCTCTTTCACCTTACTTCCCTCCCATAATCCCCCTCCTGTCTTCCTTCTTCTTTACCTTCCCTCCATCCCTCCCTTTTGCCTGCTTCTTTCTTTCTTTCTTTCTCTCTCTCTCTCTCTTTCACCCCTTCATTTGTTCGTTTGTTCCTTCCATCCTTTTCTCCCTCCTTCCCAGGGGGCACATGTTGTGTAGGTCTACCCTATGCCTTCCTCTGCCGTTCTTGGCCTGGCGTCTGTTCTGACCCTGTCCCCACACATTGCTTCCCTTTGCTGCTTTGTTTCATGTGGTTTCCTTTCTTCCCCGAAGATCTCCCCCTGAGCCGGGACGTGGGGTCGCAGGTCAAGCAGGAACTGGAGGAGAAGCCCATCAAGGAAGAGCCCTTGTCCCCCGGGAGCCCCGCTGACAATGGTGAGCCCAACCATTTTGGGGAGTTTTTGTGGGGGGAATCAGGGCCATGGACTTGCACACCTGCGCTCTATGGAACCTGTTTGGTAGTTTGTGTTGCACTCCAGGACAGGGAAAGCCCTCTGACTTTAAACTCCACACCGTTGGATGGAAAACAATCCTTTTATTGAAGGTAATTAAAAAGCAGTAAGGTACAAAAACACTTTAAAGAAATAGGTAAATCCAATTAGCTAGGAAGATAAGCAGGAACAAAGTATTCCAGGGTAATAGTCCAGCAAAGTCCATAAGAACAAAGTCAAGACTTCCCAAATAAAATGCAAGAAATCCAAAGCCGGTCTGAGTCCCTCTACGGAGGTGAGAAGATCGGGATATAAAAGTTTTAAATAAATAAATAAATAAAAAAGGCATAAATATAAAAGCATATAATCCAAGAATCAAAACCATGAAACAAACATGAATTTTCCAAGCAAAACTTCCATGAACAAGGACGAGATCTTGACTTGATTCCAAATGTTGCTTCATCTGACTATATATCCTGTACTTGGGACTTTTATCTCCTTGTCAGCTATGTCTCTAGCACTCAGAAATTGGTTTCGTTTTAGCTGAGAATTTCTTATCTTTTTCTCTCAGAGCCTGGCAGAACGCCGAAGCCACTGTTCGGCTCTCCTGTTTTGACTGATTTTCTCACATCTATCTATTTGGTCATTATTTATTTATTTTATTTACAGTATTTATATTCTGCCCTTCTCACCCCGCAGGGGACTCAGGGCGGATTACAATGTACACATATATATGGTAAACATTAAATGCCAAAGGCACACAACAGATGTAGACAAACAGTCAGAGGCTATTTAACTTTTTCTGGCCGCCAGGGGAGCTGTCACTTTCATCGTCCATCTGTGACACTGATGAAGTACTTCCGCATTCCCCGCATGCTTTTTGTGCTGGAGTGCTTTGTGGAGTCTTTTTTATGGCCTCGTAATTTTTTTTAAATTAGCCTCCCCACACATAGGTGGTACCTAATTTTCCTACTTGACAGATGCCAACTGTCTTTCGTATTGCAAAGGTTGACAACAAACTACACAATTGGTCGGAAGCTCACTCCGACCCGGGCTGACTTCGAACTCATAACCTTGTGGTCAGAAGTGATCTTAATGCAACTGACACTTAGACAGCTGCGCCACAGTCCTTGTGCATTAACTTCTGCAGTTGGGCCAGGTGCCGAGCTGTTTTCATGTTTCCTATCATGGGAACTCTCTGGTAACAATTCAGAAAGCACACCATCATGCCCACACCCCTCAAGGGCATTCTCATGGGAAACTACACTTTGAACAGGGATCTCCTGGTCATTCTCTGCATCAAGATCACTGGCCAAACCATTGCCATCTTGAAACACATCTTAAAACTCATTGACATCACTCCCCACATCCAAAGCACCCTGATCCTGAAACACAATCACAGGCTGAGCTCCAACAGTTTGGATGAGCGGACAGCTCCCTTCTCATCCATACATATGTTCACACCTATTTAGAGATTTTGATGCATTTGCTTTGTATTCAGTTGCCTTGAGTCATGTTTGTTGTTAGCTGCCAGGACCCCCTATACAGGGAGAAAGGTGGGATCCAACTAGTAATTAAGTACAAATTGTATTCATGGATTTGGAGCACGGCTTGGAGGAACAAGCTGAAGATTAATCCTGACAAGACAGAGGTCCTCCTGGTCGATCATAAACCAGATCGAGGTATAGGGTGGCAACCTGTGCTGGACCGGGGTTGCTCTCTCCCTGAAGTCACAGGTCCACAGTTTGGACGTCCTCCTGGACTCATCGCTTTCGCTTGAAGCTCAGACGTCGGCGGTGGCCGGGAGGGCCTTTGCACAATTGAGACTCGTGCGCCAACTGCGACCGTACCTCATGAAGGCGGATCTGGCCAGGGTGGTCCATGTCTTAGTCACCTCCAGATTGGACTACTGTAATGCACTCTACGTGGGGCTGCCCTTGAAAACGGCCCGGAAGTTTCAGTTGGTTCAGCAGGCGGTGGCCAGGATGTTAAGTGGTGCTTCTTACAGGGAGAGGTCAACCCTCCTGTTCAAGGAGCTCCCTTGGCTGCCGTTCATTTTCCGGGCCCAATTCAAGGTGCAGGTGCTTACCTACATAGCCCTAAACAGTTTGGGACCCACCTACCTGCGTGATCGCATTTCCGTATACGAACCCACACGATCTCTTCGTTCATCTGGAGAGGCCCTGCTCACGATCCCACCTGCATCGCAAGCGTGATTTGTGGAAATGAGGGACAGGGCCTTCTCAGTGGTGGCCCCTCATCTCTGGAACTCACTCCCCAGGAATATCAGACATACCCCAACGTTGGCAGTCTTTAGGAGGAGCCTGAAAACGTGGTTGTTCCAGTGTGCCTTCCCAGATTAAGGAATCCCAAGCAATATGTCCCAAATGCACTTTGCGAGAGAGTTAGAATTGTCTGCACACCCACTTACCCCCCAAAATATCTATCCTTTTTCACCTGGACATGCCCAGCGTTTTTAAAAATTTTAATCATTACATTTGGCCCTGCCACAGGTTTTTAAACGAGTCGTGATATTTTTGTTATTGTTTTGCTTTGCTATGAGTTATTTATTGTTGTGTTGTATTGTTGTTGTGTTTTTTGTTTCTGATGTATTTTGGGCTCAGCCTCTTGTCAGCCGCATTAAGTCCTGCGGGAGATGGTAGCGGGGTATAAATAAAGGATTATTATTATTATTATTATTATTATTATTATTATTATTATTGCACATGCTGAGTGTAACTGGCAATCCGTGGCCACAGGCCGCGTGGCTCAACACCATTCCTGACTTGCCCTTTCTCATTCCCAGAGTCCTTTATTCCGGTCTGCATCAAGCAAGAGGAAGAGGAGCAGGAGGAGCAGAGCATGGAAGACCAACCATACCTGGTTTACTTTGGTGAGTGCTGCGCAATGACACAGTCCCTGTTTGCAGGGAGGATAATACCGTTATCGCACAGAGGAAAACTCATCCATGTTGGGTCCGTCCGCACTGCCGAATGATCCTGCTGTGAATCCACTTTAACTGCTTGGCAAACTCTGGGATTCAACGTTTAATGTATAACTCAGAGTTTTCCAAGCATTCATGTTTGGGCAGGCCTCCTTTCATGCCACAACCATTCAGTTTTACTAGCAAACCAGAGGTTAAATCAGGCATGGGCAAAGTCTGGCCCTCCAGGTGTTTTGGAGTCCAACTCCCACCATTCCTCACAGCCTGAGGCCCCTTCCTTTTCCCCCTCAGCCGCTAAAAATACACAAAAAAACCCAGCAGAATAAACCATATATACATATACACATGCACACATATATAGAGACACACAGACATATATGCAAGCACACACAAATATACACATATACATACACATGCATATACACCTATATGCATATACACATACATACACATATAAACACACATATATGCATGTACACAAGCACACACATATACACAATATACATATACACATATAAACACAGAAATATACATATACACATGCACACATACATACAGACACATATGTATATGCAAGTACACAAATATACACATACAGTATACACACATTCATATACACCTATACACGTACATACACACACATATAAACACAGAAATGTACATGTACACATGGACACATACATACAGACACACACACACATATATATATGCAAGTACACAAATATACGCATACAGTATACACACATACATGTACACCCACACACATATGCATATACACATACACACATATAAACACATATATGCATATACAGAAGCACACACATATACACAATATACATATACACATATAAAGAAATATACATATACACATGCATGCACACATACATACAGACACACATATATAAGCAAGTACACAAATATACGCATACAGTATACACATATACATATACACCTACACACATATGCATATACACATACATACACACACATATATACACATATATGCATATACACAAGCACACACATATACACAATATACATATACACAAATATATACACGTGCATACACACATAAATAAACACACACACACATATATATATATATACACAAACACACACATATATACACAAATATATACACACACAAAACACATATACACAGACTGGGCCACAGCAACGTATGGCAGGGGACATATAAATAAGTAGTATTGTTGACATCACGGGGTGCCTTTGGGCGAGAGGTAAACACCTATATAAGCAGATGAACTCGAGGCTTATTGCCGAAGGACAAATCGTACTACAGGCGCAACACATGAATAACACACTTGATAACGACCGGATGAGGCTGTGTCTTAATAGGAATCTTCGCAATTCAATATGTCGTGTGTCGTAATGGGCATACTTAATGCATTTGAGTGAAAGAAAGAAGCATTTTCTGCAGTTTTATCGGCACTTTTGCGCAGACCTTCCTCCTTTGTCGTCCTTTTTGTCGCCATTCCCGTCTCGAAAGTCTTCCACGAACGCTTGATTTCACAGTAGATTGAAAGGCCATCCTGTTTTGATCCCCAGACAAGATGAGCGCGAAAAGGAAGCGCTATTCTGTCGCCTTCAAGAAAGGGATCGTGGAGGCTTCCTGGGGCAAGAACCTGACGGCTTTCTGCAAAGAGAGGAAGCTGGATCTCCGGATGGTGCGGAGATGGCGCGCCGAGCATGACGAGGGGAACGCCAAGCAGCGCAAGGGCGGAAAGTCAAGCCGGCAGCCCTTGTTTCCTGAGCTGGAAACCCTCCTCTGCGGATGGATCGCCGAGAGGAGAGCGAAGGCTTTGGAGGTGCACAGGGCCGACATCCAAGCGTTTGCCCTTGCTGTGGCCCCGCAGTTGGAAATACCCCCAGAAGCATTCAAAACATTGCAACGCTGGCTGGATGGATTCCTCCAGCGATACGAGCGGTCTCTTAAGAAGATGGACAGCGCTGCTCAAGAGGGAAGATAATGCAGTGATTGAATGTGACCTTGCACTCAAGATCTTTGTGGACGGCCTCGACTTTTCTGAATACTCATAAATGTATTGCTCAGCTATCTCTGCAGCTCACAACATCATTAAAACAAGAGATAAAACACTATTAAGAACACAGCCAACAAGATACATTGAGCTTCCAGTAAAGGACTAGTAGTCCCTTGGCAATTGTCCGCCCCTGATGTATTGATATTGATTGTTGTTGGTTGATCTGCTATTTATTTCTCGTGTCAGGGCAGCCAGTCAATTATATTACATTTCTAAAAGAACAAAGCAAACAAGCAGACAAAATACAAAATGTGTGAGTTTGGTAGTTGATTAAATGTCCTTTGACTAGTATCTGGCCACTTGGAGTGCCTCTGGTGTTGCTGCAAGAAGGTCCTCCATTGTGCATGTGGCAGGGCTCAGGGTGCATTGCAGCAGGTGGTCAGTGGTTTGCTCCTTTCCACTTTGTGGCCCCATTTCTTGAGGTTGGCTCTGCATCTCGTGGTGCCAGAGCGCAGTCTGTTCAGCGCCTTCCAAGTCGCCCAGTCTTCTGTGTGCCCAGGGGGGAGTCTCTCCTTTGGTATCAGCCATTGGTTGAGGTTCTGGGTTTGAGCCTGCCACTTTTGGACTCTCGCTTGCTGAGGTGTTCCAGCGAGTGTCTCTGTAGATCTTAGAAAACTATGTCTGGATTTAAGTCGTTGACGTGCTGGCTGATACCCAAACAGGGGATGAGCTGGAGATGTCTCTGCCTTGGTCCTTTCACTATTGGCTGCCACTTCCCGGCGGATGTCAGGTGGTGCAATACCGGCTAAGCAGTGTAATTTCTCCAGTGGTGTAGGGCGCAGACACCCCGTGATAATGCGGCATGTCTCATTAAGAGCCACATCCACTGTTTTAGTGTGGTGAGATGAGTTCCACACTGGGCATGCAGACTCAGCAGCAGAGTAGCATAGCGCAAGGGCAGATGTCTTCACTGTGTCTGGTTGTGATCCCCAGGTTGTGCCAGTCAGCTTTTCGTATGATATTGTTTCTAGCGCCCACTTTTTGCTTGATGTTCAGGCAGTGCTTCTTGTAGGTAAGAGCACGGTCCAGAGTGACTCCCAGGTATCTGGGTGTGCTGCAATGCTCCAGTGGGATTCCTTCCCAGGTAATCCTCAGAGCTTGGGATGCTTCTCTGTTCTTGAGATGAAAGGCACATGTCTGTGCTTTGGATGGATTAGGGATCAGCTGGTTTTCCCTGTAATTGGCAGTAAGAGCACCTAGAGCTTCGGAAGACTTGGCAAAATTTCTAATATTTAAATATGACTCTTCTGCAAGCTAAAATAATGATTCTATTACTTGATGTTCCAGTGTGCCTTCCCAGATTAAGGAATCCAGAGCAATATGTCCCAAATGCACTTTATGAGAGAGTTAGAATTGTCTGCACGCCCTCTTATTCCCAAAATATCCATCCTATTTCACCTGGACATGCCCAGCATTTTCAGGAATTTTAATCATTACACTTGGCCCTGCCACAGGTTTTTAAATGCGCTGCGATTTTTGTTATTGCTTTGCTTTGCTATGAGTTATTTATTGCTGTATTGTATTGTTGTTGTTGTGTTTTTTGTTTATGATGTATTTTGGGCTCGGCCTCTTGTAAGCCGCACCGAGTCCTGCGGGAGATCTCTGTGTGAGAGAAGCCTTGTGTGAGAAAGTTCCAGTATGAAGGTGGTGTGTGTAAAGCTACTATATATTTGTTTCTTTGTGTTATGGAAACCTAGTTCTTTTAAATAGGGCAGCCATATTATTTTATTACAAAGAAAATGTGAGGAAAACCCCTGTGTGAGAGAAGCCTTGTGTGAAAAAGCTCCAGTGTGAAGGTGGTGCGTGTAAAGCTACTATATATTTGTTTCTTTGTGTTACAGAAACCTAGTTCTTGTAAATACTGTAACCATATTATTTACTACGAAGAAAATGTGAGGTAAACCTCTGTGTGAGAGAAGCCTTGTGTGAGAAAGCTCCAGTGTGAAGGTGGTGCGTGTAAAGCTACTATATATTTGTTTCTTTGTGTTACAGAAACCTAGTTCTTGTAAATACTGTAACCATATTATTTACTACGAAGAGAATGTGAGGTAAACCTCTGTGTGAGAGAAACCTTGTGTGAGAAAGCTCCAGTGTGAAGGTGGTGTGTGTAAATAAAGGTGGTTTATTAAAGGTGGATTATTATTATTATTATTATTATTATTATTATTATTATTATTATCCAGCATGGGCCAACTGCGGCCCTCCCTCAAGGTATTTTGGACTTCAACTCCCACAATTCCTAACCACCTATGGGAGTTAAGGTCCAAAACACCTGGAGGGAGTTTCAAAGTTGGCCCATAGTTGTATGACGTGGTCCCAGTCCTTGCTGAAGATGGTTTTCCTCCCCTTTCCACAGCAGACCACAGCCAGTCGCTCCCGATGGCCGGTGCAGAGCAGGGAGAGGGCCCAACGACGAAGTCTTCTGTGTCCTCGTGCGGGAAGGATCCCGAGGCGAAGGAGGCGGAGGTACAAGGCTGCCTGGCGCTCTGCGGCATGTGCAACCAGAGCGTGTCCAATCGGGAGACGCTGGGCGACCACCAGTACAGCCGCAAGCACAAGCTCCACTGCACCGAGTGCAACCGCAGCTTTGCCTTCCAGGGCCAGCTCTCCCAGCACATGCTGGTCCACCTGCAGGGAATCCAGCTGCACTGCGACCACTGCAACCTCTGCTTCTCCAGCCAGAAAGCCCTCGAGGTGCACAAGCGGGTCCACCTCCTGGACTGGCCTCTGCACTGCTCCATCTGCAACTGCAGCTTCTCGGACGCGGCCAGCTTCGACCACCACCAGCAGAGCCATGCGCCGGGCCAGGTGCGCCGCTGCCTGGAGTGCAACGTCTACTTCACGGACTCCTTGGCGCTGCAGGAGCACAAGCGCACCCACGCCGAGGACTGGCCCTTCCGCTGCGCCCAGTGCGACCGGACTTTTGTGCATGAGGGCTTGCTGCGCGAACACCTCCTCAATCACAGCCGCACACGCAGCCGGCGCTGCCACATCTGCGGCTCCTGGCTCTCCTACCGTGGCATGGAGCTCAGCGAGGGGCAGCTCTACTACTGCAGGAAGTGCAAAACCTCCTGCCACGTCCAAGGCAGCCCCGGGGCAGTGGCGGCAGCAGCGGTGGCGGGCAGCCCGGACAAGGGCAGCGCTTAGGGCCCCGCTCGGTCCCCTCGATGGCAGCCTCATCCTCCTCGCACCCCAGTATCCAGTTATGTGTTTCAGTGCACATTCCCACATGTCTCAGCCTGGTTTTTGTCCATCCTGGATGCCTTTCTTCCACATCCATAGAAGCAACCCGAGTGAGGGAACCACACAGGCCCCTCTCCGTTCTGTAGGTCACAGCCCTGTCCCACTTGAACCCCACATTCCGGTATGTGTTTCAAAACAGGGAATCCTGTTTTGATCCACAGACATGAGCACGAAAAAGAAGCACTTTTCCATCACCTTCAAGAAAGGGATTGTGGAGGCCTCCCAGGGCAAGAACTGATGGCTTTCTGCAAAGAGAGGAAGCTGAATCTCCGGATGGTCCAGGGATGGCTCACCGAGTTCGACGAGGAGAACGCCGAGCAGCTCAAGAGCGGAAGGTCATGCTGGAAGCCCTTGTTTCCTGAGCTGGAAGCCATTGTCTGCAGGGATCGCCGAGCGGAGAGCAAAGGCTATGGTGGTGCTTAGGGTGGACATCCAAGCATTTGCCCTTGCTGTGGCCCTGCAGTTGGAAATTCCCCCAGAAGAGTTCAAAGCATTGCAACACTGACCTCACAACCTCTGAGGATGCTTGCCATAGATGCAGGTGAAACGTCAGGAGAGAATCCTTCAAGGACATGGCCATATAGCCCGAAAAAACCTACAACAACCCACTGGCTGCATTTCTCCCTCCAGCAATACAAACTGTCTCTTAAGAAGATGGATAGCGCTGCTCAAGAGGAAAAGATAACGGAGTGATTGAAACCCATGCAGGGTTTTAAGGGTTAAAATCAACACCTTGTAGTTTGCCCAGAAACTAATTGGCAGCCAGTAGAGTGACTTTAGGATTGGTGTCATGCGCTCACTCCTAGATGTTCCTGTAACCAGTCTGGCTGCCATATTTTAAACCAGCTGGAGTTTGGTGCAAGGGTAGCTCAATGTAGAGCGCATTGCAGAAGTCCAGCCTTGAGGTTATCACCATCTTTTACTTTGAACCTGCTGGAGTTTCCAAACTTGGTGCAAGGGTAGCCCCACGTAGAGCGCATTGCAGAAGTCCAGCCTTGAGGTTATCACCATCTTTAAGTCCTCCAAATATAGAAAGGGGTGCAGCTGATGTATCAGCTGAAGCTATAATAAGTACTCCTGATCATTGTCACGTCTACCTGGGCTGACCTGTAGAGAGACGGATCCAGGATCCTTTGTCCCAAGCTGCAAACACAGTCTTTTGGAGGAGAGGGACATCATCCAGGACTGGTTGACGCACCTCCATCCCTCTGTTTTGTCTGGATTCAGTGCCTATGTGTTTTTACTCATCCAACCTGTGACCTCCTCCAAGCATTCTTTCATAGGAGACACACTATCTTTACCTGAAGATATTCGGGTGTCATCAGCATACCTATGGCACTGTGCCCCATGCCTCCAGATGTTCTCTCCCACCAGTTTCATGTCAGTGTTGGACAGAATGGCATCTTGTGGGATGATGCCAGATAACCTCTCCGGTAGGCTGCTAGGTATTGTGGGAGTTGAAATCCAAAATACCTGGAGGGACAAAGTTTGCTCATGCCTGCGCTACGGGAAACCGAGTCACAAGGAATTCAGGCTGGACTTTGGGGTTTAATAAAGTTCCAGAAGAAATCGACATGACTGTATTTCAATCAATGTAGGTTGTTGTATATGAATAAATGTAGATTGTTGTGCATCCCATAAAAATAATGCGTCTTTTCCAGACAAAATTAATACCAGACCTGGTCTTATTT